ATACGCGGTCGGCCTAATCCAGCATCAGGAGAGACGGAACCTTTCGCTACACCATCAGCACTGTTGGGGTTGGAACCACTCGAGTGCCGGTCCTGAGGTCGCAGTGTTGCGTCCCGTCTTAGCACAGACGTGTACCTTGGCCCTCGAGAGCTACTCTCGTTGTCGCCTTCGTATCGGCCTTCAGCCACATCCTCTTCGAGCCCTCGTTGACGGGCTCTGCTCGCCGTACTCGCGCCCGTAGTGGTCGTTGTCCCCGTCGACGAATCTGAACTTCGAGTGGGAGTGTTGTTGGAACTTGTTGTGGTAGCGGTACTACCAAGGTGGGTGGCTAGGTTGCTGGAAGGCCGCGTGGGGCGTGGGCCAAAGGGAGACGCGGGCAGCTGACCCTCGGGGGAATCCAAATCCAGCTGGCCTACAATCCCAGCATACCCAGAGCCGTCGCTAGCTGTAGAGTCGCCTGGTGGCGTAGCGAAAGGTTCCGTCTCTCCTGATGCTGGATTAGGCCGACCGCGTATCGCATTGCCGCTTCGGAAAGAGAGGCCTGGTCTCCTGACTCCAGGTCCGGGTTCATCAGGAAGCTATAGATCACATGGTGCCATTTAGTATTACCATAAGACATAAAAGGATGAATTGGAAAAAAGAGAGTTAAAGAAAATAATTGTTCATACCTGTGCTAATTCTTCCGCGGGAGGATTCGCATCTCCTGCACGCCCACCCTTTCCTCGTCGTCTCTGCATCAAGCTTTGGAAGCTCTTCTTGAAATCGTCGTCCATGGTCTGTAGCTTCTCGTCCAGACCTCGCTGAGGCTGGGTGGCAGTCAGCGTCCAGGTTTCGAGCAGAATAGCGCGTGGTGTAGGCTCAATCCTCAGTCTCGAGCCGACAGAATCGAGGGCAACCAGGACTTTGTTTGTTCCGAGGTCAGGAATTGTCAAGACCGTATGGAGTGTGAGGGACGGTAGTGTGCTCATCGTAGACAACGAGCGAAATGTACGCATGTGATCTCTATGGATATCTGTATCAGGAGTCTCTAAATTAAACTAAAGGGGTGATAAAGACGATCAGCTCTGCGATATCAACGTCCTCGACTGTGCTATCTTACCCATTTGTCAAATTTAGCGCTGCGTGGGCCATGCTCTATAACAGTGGAGCGTGAGGATACGACAATAAGAAGAAATTTGATAAAGAATCTCGAGGCAATCTGATCCGCTTTCTGGACACTGTAGGAAGTGGCGGGTGTGGCAGGAGGAGGTGTAGTAGGTCGTGAATCGTCATTTTGAGGCATGTACGAGAGAGTGAAACAGATCCGTTATGGGTTTGACGCCTGGTTGTGGAGGGTTGAGATGAAAGAGCGAGAAGCAATTGGTGGTTCAATGAACAGTGGTACAGTGCTGATGGCGCGCGTACAAATGGATAACGAGTTAGCAGATAGAGATGAAACGATTGCAACAGGAAACTGAAAATTCAATGAGAAAGATTACGAATGCACGGAACTCAGCGCTGCAGACGAGGTAGAGGAGAAGTGGAAATTCCGGATGACTGCAGAGAATAAGTGATCGCTGCATTATCTCCAGCCTCACACCTTCAACACAAGAGGCTATTTCTCTAAAATTCACCAATATTAAATTTTCAATCCTTACGAATTATAAAGACTATATCAAATCCTCGCATACAAGATCTTTGCCAAGTACTCATACCGAGTGAAGCGTATTGGCAAATGGTGTATATGTCTATTAGCAAATGAAAGTAGCACGTCATTCTACTGTGTCTCGCTTCTGGATGGTGCAATGGTATATTGACATAGTCGAGGATTTCCCAATTTAATTGGGTACGAATGAGGCAATCCCAATACACCATCACTCACAACCCTGAGGGACAGAGTGATCACAACTCCGCAGGAAGCCTAGAGAAAGATCATGCGAACACCTTCGAATTAGTGTTCGCTCAAGATCGATTCTTCAGCTCTCAGAAGAGTCCAAAGGACTTCCTGGATGATCATACCAGGAACCCCTCCAGAGTGGGCTTTGGGGGCCAGACAGAGATTGAGAATCTTCCACCCCTAACAGGGAATCCATAAAGGATTCAACATTGTCCGGGCGAACGGTGCCGTACCATTCGCCGTGCGGATACACGAGAACATTTGCAGCGTATCTGCCCGGAGTGTTATTGCCCAGGTTGACAAAGTGTGTACAACATCTACTCACTTGTGTCCACCTACGTGAGAAACTTCCCCGCAAACTACTGTTTCTTCCAACCGCTTCTTTGAGATGTATTTCTGAACTGCATCTGCAACCTGAGGACCATGTTCACCACATCGACAATCCCTTGAACCGTGTGTGCAAACGAGTACCCATAACTTTTTCAACTTCTTTCGCGCCTTGTCTATCTCTTGACTTTTAAAAGAGGACCGCATCATACTGCGAGCTTGCTCTGGGCCATGGAGCATATTCTGTAGGTCAATACCATCCTGAGTCCTCTCTTTAAACAAGCGAACCCATTTGGGAATATCCTCCCTCTGAAATACGGGTATGTCGAGAGGCTCTGTCAACTTCGTAAACAACGTAGCAGTGAAGTGTTTCTCTGCCTGAGACGGGTTGGGCAACAAATGAACGGCTTTCCTGTTCATAGTTCTGTCTCCTAAAGTTTTAGCATACATTTCCATTAGACAACCATGTCACACGTTGTGCTAGAGGTAGCCTCACTAGGATTACATAACAAGACTTTACTTTGAAACTCCTTCTGGTGGAGTAAAACCTCGCCAATCACAGGGGAAAGGTGTTGAATAAGTGAAGGCCATTCGGTTGTTGGTGTTTTTGTGTGTAAAAGCAGTAAGGATTGATGTTTGGGAACTGTTCCTCTGAGAGTGCTCCTGAGGGATTCTACATCCTGTGGTGGCTTGTCCGGCGTGGCGATCGTGGACTGAAGACGTTTTCCATGGTCCTTACATATTCGTAAGGGATGGAGTCTTTGCATGTAATGGGTCAAGCTTGTCACGTAGCCGGGTCCAAGTGGTTGAAGTACTTGTCCCTCCACTTCGACTCACTCTGGTGTCTCTTATGCAACCCGACTAGAACTGTGGATTACCATCAAATCTGAAGAAATAAAGAATATAATCATTTACTCTACTGGTATCTGTGCATCGAACGGTCCTTGAGCCTTTTTCCGAGCTTCGATCGCGACGACCACCAGATGACAGGAAAGAAGGATTTTCGGAACAAACGAACTCTCAGATTCGCTTCTTTGTGACATATCCTTACGACTAAATAATACATTCCATGACACAAAACGACCGAATGCGGGGTTTAAGTTCCATCAAACCGGTCTTGGAGGGCCGGAGAATGGCAGAGGAGACGCGCGACTGGTCAACTTGACCCTATGTCTTTCCCTCTTAATGGTTCGCGAAACGAGTATCTGTTTATAATTTTCTTTCTCCCATCCTCATCATGCTTTTCCCGCCTGCTACTGTTACAGCGATCAGCTTCACTTTTGCTCTCTCAGTGGCATCTGCAGCAGCCTTGACGATCACAGTGGATGATTCCTCGATCGGTTATTTTATTTATGGCCCAACCCAGGATGTTTGGCTCACACGTAGGGTATGTATTCGCCATTGCGCATACGAGTTTGGGATTATATTTGCTCAATTGTCCGCAGCACGATGACCCTGCTTCTGCTCGTCACTACAGGGGAACAGATCACTTCAGCGTAACCAAAGGAGCCTTCGTAGAGTTTTATACCAATGCGCAAACTATCCAGTACATAGGACTTCCACCTTCCAAGCAATCTCGAATTCAAATTGAAATCGACGGTGCTGTTTATACCAAGTCATTACTGGGTACACCAGGCGATAGCTACGTCGATGAGCCTCAGGTCCTATTCACCGAAACATTGTCGGGCAACAAGCCACTACACTTGATACGAATCACCAATGTTGACGCTCCGGAGTTACACCTCGATGCTGTCAGGTAATTCACATGTATCCGCAAACGCCGTCGAGAGCTAAATTTAACCCCCATGTAGGGAGATCTTTCAAAGTTCCGAAGGAGTTCGCCCCTCCGGCGAAAGCAGTGCCTCCGAAAGAGACCAAACACCAAGGAAATCAAATATTTTGGCGGATGAACAGGCTCGCATGTCTAGCTGAGGCTGGCCTATCGTGTTGACCAAGATAGATTGGGTCTATATGGAGTGGTCATCTAAGTTTATTGAATAAACGAGTATTCCCTCGATATTACTGTATTTACTTATTTCCCAATACAATTATAACAATTTCAAAAATTATTTTGTAAAAAAAGGTTCGAGATGTGCAATTTGTCTGGTTTGCCACCCAAGATTTTACGTCTACCCTGCTTTTAACTCTGCCATCTCTTGTCACGATCGCGGGAGATCCTGCCTGCTCATAAAAGTCGCGATGGCTGTTAGTTTCTCCAGATCTACCTCTGATCATCGCTAATGACATGCCTATCATCCGTTTTTTACGCGGAGCAGCAACAAATGTCGCAACACATCTATGAACTCCTCAAAAAAACAACAGTACCCGATACTGCTACTGTAAAAGAAGTGCGATCGTCCGTTTCATTGCGCCATTTTCCTTTTTTTGACCACGCCACACTGTTCATTTGTCTGCTTGGATCCTCTTCCGATTAGGCCACAGCCCAGCTTCAGCAAATCTTCTCTAATCCAGAATGTATTCCCGCCCTCTTTGAGCTTGCAGTGATCTCCCCGGAGACAAACGTATGTTGGCAATCATCTCCGTGCAAGATTCCCCCACTAATTATCGGTGGCGATTCTTAGGTTCGCCAATTAGCCGCCGTAGAATTACGAAAACAGGTTAATGGCGGAGAAAGTAGCCCATGGTTGAAAGTTCCTCAGGATTTAAGAACAAATATCAAGGCAAGGCTATTGGAACGACTCCTACACGAGCCAGAGTGGGTCATTTGATTGAATTTTATACAATTCCCTGATTTTCAAGCCATGTCTAGGTCTATTGTTCGCCACTCCTTGGCCCGAGTGATCTCCGCTATTGCCTCTGTGGAACTTCCTCATAGTCAATGGCCTGAGCTTTTGCCCTTTGTTCAAAACCTCTGCGAATCTAAAAACGCCGTACATCGTGAATCTGGAGCATTTATTTTATTCACTATTCTCGAGGTTGTTATTGAAGGCTTGCAAGACAAAGTCGCCGACTTTTTGAGGCTCTTCAATCAGCTTCTTAATGACCCGGAAAGCTTGGATGTGCGACTCGTTACCGTACGAGCTCTAGGAACACTTTCCGGATATATTGATATTGACGATAAAGTCGAGATTGTGAGTTGAACCAATTCAGCCCGGATAAATGCTCATCAAAACCCTAGAGAGCCTTCCAGCTACTTATGCCTCAAATTCTAAATGTTCTCGGAGAAAGTCTAGGGATGGATAGTGACGAAGGAGCAAGACACGGTTTCGACACCTTGTCTACACTACTTATTATGGTATGCTGAAGAAGAAAGTGAAAGTCTACTCTCATTTACAAGGCTTCAAACAGGAAACGCCACTTCTCTCGCAACATGTCCGTGAAGTGGTCACATTCTGCATACAAGCAGGCACCAAGGCCGACCTTGATGAAGAAGTGAGAGTTATGGCGCTCAACGCCCTAGTAATGACCATCAAATAGTATGCCTTTCACCCTCATTACCCCTTTATGAGCTAAATTTCAACCAGCAAGAAGACCAAGATACATAACCTCAAATTGGCCCAGCCTCTCATCGATGCAATCATGCCACTACTTATGGAGAGAGACACTGATGATGACGATGAAGAAACTCCTGCACGGGTAATATCAATTCAACCATATTGGCGTTTCATCGAGCTGACTGCTTATTTAGCTTGGTGTTCGTGCTTTAGACGCACTCGCAACGTCACTCCCTCCACAACAAGTGTTCCCTCACCTTCATAAAACTATCCAGGCATACTCATCGAGTGGCGATTCCAACCAACGCCGTGCTGCCCTCATGGCTCTTGGTGTCGTGATGGAAGGCTGCTCTGAATTTATTCGCCCACATATGAACCAAGTCTGGCCATATATCGATAACGGTCTCAAGGATCCTGATCCAACCGTGCGTAAAGCTGCATGTACCGCTGTCGGGTGCATCACCGAGTGGCTGGATGAGGAGTGTGTGGAGAGGCATGCAATTCTGATACCCGTCAGTCCGTTCCTTCCCTACAATGATTAATTACTAAAAATATGAAAAGGAACTTCTTCGTCTTGCTAATGATCCAATCACTCAATCTGCATCTTGCACTGCACTCGATGGACTCCTGGAGATGCTTGGAGACACCATTGACAGCTACATGCCGCTTCTGATGACCACATTCGTCCAACTATTGGATACAGCTCCCAATAAAGTCAAGGCGGTCGTCATTGGTGCCATCGGTTCCGCTGCACACGCTTCAAAGGAAAAGTTCCTCCCATATTTCGAAACCATCATCAAGAAATTGGTTCCATTCCTCATCCTGGAGGGAGAAGGAGAAGAAGAAGAGTTGAGAGGCATCGCTATGGACGCTTGCGGTACATTCGCGGAATCAGTACCCAAAGAAGCGTTCCTACCTTATTATGAAGACCTTATGAAGAATGCATATCAGAGCGTTAGCTCCAAGAGTGCTCGTCTGCGCGAGTGCTCCTTCCTTTTCTTTGGGGTTATGGCGTCTATGTTCCCCGAAAAATTCGTCCCCTACCTCCCGAACATAGTTCCTGCCTTCCTCAACAGCTTGAAGCTTGATGAACTCGGTGATGATCCCACACTCGGTATGTCAACCACATGATCAATTTATCCATACTTACCGAAATAATTTTGCGTACCAGTTGAACTCACTGGAGCAGGCGACTCATCCGAGACTCCAATCCAAATCATTGAAAACAAAGTCAGCGAGATGGATGAAATCGACACAGAAGCCCTCATGAAAGTCAATAGTGCTATTGCGATTGAGAAAGAAATCGCTGCTGATGTTATCGGCGGCATATTCGCCAGCACAAGGGAACACTTCCTGCCATTCCTGGAAGAGACAGCAATGGTCTTGCAAGGGTTGACATCTCACTACTACGAGGGCATCAGAAAGTCTGCTATCCAATCGATCTTCATCTTTATCGTTACTCTAAATGAGTTATCAAACCCAGCACCGTGGGTGGCTGGAGGAAACAATGTGGGTCCTACCTTTACCTCGCCTGAACTTCTAATAACCCGTCACTAGGTGACACCTCTCCATGAAAATGTGCAAAAACTCATCTCTCACACAATGCCGGAGATTCTGGAGGCGTTTGATGTCGAAGACGACAAGTAAGTCAAAGTTCCAGCAGAACTCATGACGAACAACATCGTTACTCAGCTCACTACGATGCCTCTCGGGCGTGAGAATTCAACACGATATCAATCATCTGATACTATCTCACCATATCCCAATATTTGAACTCATAACTGATGACTCTTCAGGAGTGTTGCAGCTGCCATTTGTCAATCGCTGGCTGATGCTACCACCAAGGTTGGACCTGCACTCATAACCCAATGTCAGTATCAAAATTCCACTATTTGGACTTATGAATGACATCGTGAAGCCTACGAGACTATCTGCAGTATGTGTGTGAAGATTCTCAGCGGCAAATCCCTTGCCCAAGTCGATCCTGATCAGGGTGAAGAGGAGGACGGAGCTGATGAACTAGCCGAGATGGATTCTTTCCTCATTGGTGCCTGTGAAGATGTCGTTTCAGCGCTTGCTTCAGTGCTTGGGCCAGACTTTGCGAACAGTTTCAATCAGTTCTTGCCCTTGATAGCTCAGTATTACGTGCGTTCTCTTGAAGCGCACTGACATCCTTTGTTGATCATTTTATAGGGTCCCAAGCGCTCTCCGAGCGACAGGTCTAGCTCCATTGGCAGCTTTGGTGAAATTATCACCGGGTTGAAAGGCGGTGTGACCCCTTATACAGCTGTACGTACTTTCAGTTTAGGGATGTGTACGAATTTAATGTTCTACATTCTAGACCCTTCGCGAGATTCTCATGCAAGCCGTTACGGATCCAGAGCCCGAGGTCAAATCCAATGCTGCATTTGGTCTTGGTGTACTCGTCGAGAATTCGGATGTTGCCTGGACCAAAGAAGACTTTGAAGGCATTCTTTTCCGACTTCGACCACTTTTCCAAATAGCCGAAGGAGCGTCTAAGGCTGATTATAATGCGCGAGATAATGCTGCAGGCGCTGTGTCCCGGCTGATAATCACCAATCCTTCCCTCATCCCACTCGACACAGTCCTACCCGTCCTTTATAGCGCACTACCACTCGAACACGATCCTTTGGAGAACCGCCCACTCTTCCGCGCTCTCGTTGCCCTATATGGGCAAAATCCCAGCTTCATTCTGGCTTATATCGACACCCTGCTACCCGTCTTTGCTCGTGTCCTTGATCCAAATTCCACTGATGAGATCGGAAACGAAAACCGGGCCAATCTCATTCAATTATTGGTTCATTTGAATGGGACCGTGCCGGACAAGCTTCAGCAAGCCGGCCTCGCACCATTCTTGGCGTAAACTTATCAAGATCGAACACCCGGAGTGCTGTCTATGAAGAGGGAACTTTTCACCATAATCTCAACCATTGTCCCAAACTTAATGACGAAGCCAAATTACCCATCTTTTGAACGCAGGTGGCCTGTCGGGCATATCTCACCATGCATTCCTAACAGTAGTATGTTTTATGGAAAATAGAGTAAATGATGCCACCTCTATCCCAGAAAGACACCCTGTGAATCGTAAGAGAAATCCTATTCTAAAACCTTTTTGAGACCAAAAGATAAAGGAATAAGCCTCCAGCCGGACATTCTCACTTGCCAAACTTACTGAGCGTGATCCTTCACAGGGAATCAGATCTCTTAATATCACTGATATCATGGAGTCTAATAATACAGGACAGGGTGTGCACCTGATCGTTCTAGATTTAAAATAGAACACCTAAAGGTTTTATCTAGATTGTACTGAGAACTAGGGTATTTCGTCTTCAAAGTAGGGGGGACCTAGCATACTGATGGTCCCGTTCTTCGGTGAGATATGGAAACCGCCCAATCAAGTAGGCGTCCCATGGATTCGGCATAATTACCCCTTAGGTTCTACCTCTTGACAGCAGA